TGGCTGGCCCGGGGCAGCCCTGTGCTGTCCACCCATCCACCCTTGCTCCCGCGGCGGGTCCAGACAAACCTCTGTCTGGGGGCCAGTCGTGGAGTCAAGGCTCACTGAGGTTCCACCCGCATCTCTGACCTGCCAGGAGCAGGCTCTGCTCAGAGGACGGATGTAACTACCCAGAAGGGTTTTTCCGTGGCCTCGGAGTCTGGGGAAGGGTTTGGATTGCTCTTCCCGGACAGGCAACGCTTCGCTGCAGTGTGTCCCCTTGAGGAAGGGCCGGACTCGCAGCTGGAAGCGAAGTCACGAGGAGTCGTCCCCGCTTTCCCGCTGTCCTCAGTGCTCTCGCCCCTCTCCGCAGATCGTGCTGCACCGGCAGCAGGAGGTCCTGGACTGCGAGTGCGACATGGCCTCTGTCCACCACCTCCTGTCCCAGATCCCCCAGGACCTTCCTTACGAGAAGCTGATCAGAAGAGCCGGGGACCTTTTTGTCCAGTTCCCACCATCCAAACTTGCCAAGCAGGCAGCTCAGCAGCAGGCGGAACGGTGAGTGCCGGGCGGCCCCGTGCTTCCCGGTGAAGATCTTCCTCCCTGGCAGGAGGCTGGTCCCAGGGCGAGCCGGGGACGCGCCTTGACCTGTTCCTTCCCTTGCAGAACTGCGGCTTCCACTTTCAAGGACTTTGAGCTGGCGTCAGTGCAGCAGAGGCCGGACACTGTGTTGAGGCAGCGCTTCAGGGAGCGGCCCCGAGCGGAGGAGCGGACAAAATCCATCTTGACAAAGCCGAGGACCAACCGCTTTGTCAAGCTGGCGGTGATGGGGCTGACGGGCGCGCTGGGAGCAGCCGCCCTGGCCGTGGTGAAGAGCGCGCTGGAGGGTCTGCAGATTTCCCCTGGAAGCCAGGGAACGGGCGTTCCCTGCCGCCGCGTCCTTCCCTGGCGGGGAAGGGCCGATGTTTGATGAAAGGACGTGTCCGAAACGACCTGCCTGAAGATTATTTTTTATCCTTGCTGCCTCCGGTGACGCTCTTGGCCTTCGCGACGGAGACTGGTGGGAACCGGCCCAGCAGGATTGTTCCCAGCACCGACGCTCGCCTTGTTCTC